GTCAGGATGTGAAAGAAGTTAACCATTTAGTTAGGAGAAGCTGTTTTAAAAAACTAGAATCTAGATCTAGATTCACCTTACCTAGGTCTATAGAGAGATAAGCTTCCAGGTATTTAAGAATATAGAATACAGCTCAGCAGGTGTTGCTCAGTGGTTGAGCTTTGACCCAAGAACCAGGAGGTCAGGGTTCAATTCCTGGTCAGGGCACATGCCCGGGTTGCAGTCCCAATTCCTGGTGTGGGGCTTGCAGAAGAAAGCAGATGAATGATTTTCTCTCATTATTAATATTTCTCTGTCTCTCTCTCTTCCACTTCCTTCCTCTCTCTGAAGTCAATAAAAACATTTAAATTATATATATGAAAAAGAACATAGAATACACAGATCCTCTTTTGGATTGAAAAAGAATAAAGGTAAATTGCTTGAAGCAAGGAGACAATAGGTGATACCAAATTAGCTAGAGCAATATCTGGATAAAATTTTACAATCTTTATAAATGGTTCTTTGATGTATATTCCGGGGTACAGAGCGCATCTCTGGGCAATTCTTAGAAGTAAGCTTTTCAATAGGGAAGTCAAATATGTTCTGATGGTCTATATAATCTATATTTGAGTCATTATTCCTATTTAATCTATATTTGAGTTATTATTCTAGTGAACTCAAGACCCTTTATAATTCTAATTTTGCCATGGCATACTGGAATCTGAGTACCATGCTTTGCAGATGTGGTTTAACCCTTATTGCCTTGGTTTGTCAGTGTAGCTAGGCCCAGTAACGTTTAAAATAATAGCTATCTGCTAATATTTGATCAGGTATTAGGGAGCATTTTTCTTGTTGGAAAAAGCTCAGTAATTATAAATCTTGTGAACATTTGTATCTCGTTGAAGGTCATTTTGTGAGAAGATGGCATTGTCTATGTCTGCATTAGCCATTCATTTGGTTTCTGAAAACCTAATGTATGCAAGCTCAGCCCAGGGTGGAACAAGATGTTAAGTCATAGGCTGCAGAAGGGCTAAATCAGGAAAAAAGTCTTAATATTCTTTTGGACACATGGCTTCCTGGAATAGTCAACTGTTCCCATTAACCTTGTAGCTAAGTGTCACCACCTCACCATTTCCCAGGATGAAATGAAAGGGGAAATGGGATGTACAAAAATGTCCTTGGATGTGAGTATGACTTTCTCTTCCTCTTTTGCTTCTCTGCTCCTGCCATGCAGACATGATTGCTAGAACCGGACTTTGGAATAAAGGCCATAGACGGCTGAGCAAGAAGATAAAGGAGGAGTCTGTTGCACTTTGTGATGCTTTGGAGGGCCTTAACCACCCTGGATCACCAACTGCTAGACTTTCACTTGAGAAAAAGAAATAACGTCCACCTTTTTTTAGCTTGTTGTTATTTTATGTTTCTGTTGTTTGCAGCCAAAATAAATCCTAATTAATACCAAATGAAACATTTAAAAAATAATTTTTACCTTAAGAATACCACCAATTTCAAGCAGATAAGAAGGCTTTTACTGAGTAGGAAAAAATAAGCTCACTTGGAATATCTATATACCTTACATATTCACTCCACTTACATAACAATTATGACTGAGATGCAGAGCACCATACAAACTTTTTGTCCATTCCTCTGTTTTTTTTTGTTGTTGTTATTTTTTTTCTGTAGAAGTGATATCTGTAAATAGAAATACTGGGTTAATGACATATATTCTATAAGGCAGTTGATACATATTGTCAACTTTCTTTTCAGAAAAAAATGTGTCAGTATACACCAACAGCATGTTGATGTACAGCTGGTATACCTGTCTCAACATACTTCTTAGTCTAGTACTAGGGCGCTGTTCCTTTTCAGCTAACTTAATGGATGAAACATGAAACATGATGAATCTGGTGATTGTATATTTTTATGTATTGGATTTGTATAGGTAGAACATAATTCCTTAGTTTTATTGGCCATTTGAATTTATTTTGTAAACAGATATCCATGGTCTTTTTCTAACTTTCATGCATTTGGAAAACTTAGTGCATTTCTTTTAATATGAAAAAAGTTATTTGGTTAGGAAATTTTGATAGCTATTAAAATATTTTAATTTTGATAATCCTATTTGATTAAAATCACTTTTTTAAATTTTGGGAAGTTCTTTTCTATTTGGTAGGTATTAATTTTTTTTCAATTTCAATGGCGTTAAAACCAACAGTGGCATCTTTTTCAAAAATCATTCTAGCACACAAAGCCACCATGGATAATAGCATCTTTACTCCAACACCTGTGATGCTTTCTTGGCCCTGAGAAGGTGTTAAATATAGTTGTGTAGCAAAGAAGGCATAGGATTTACTTCATTTTATTTTTGTGGAAGGTGTGCCTTAAAAAATATTGGCAAGAATAAAGGATTTACTGACAATAAAGTGAGATACTTTACATCTTAACTACTAAAGACTATGCTCATCAGATTACAAACGATTTGAAAAAGTAGGAAGTTTGAGCCAAACATACAGATAGCTACTATAAAAATTACTATCTTAATATTTGATTAAACCATATAAACAATTAACTTATTTTCTTTCTTTTTTTCCTGATGTTTTTTAACCATCTTTATTTTTTACTCATTTTTGGTGCTTTCGCCTTCTTTCTTCTGTTTGATCTTTTTTTTTTTTAAATTGCTATTTGTGGTTAATTCCTCTTTGGTGAATACTTTTAATTACTTATTTAACTTAAATGCTTACTTCTCAGTTAACATTTCATATTTAATTATTTAACTTAATATGATTAGCTTTCAGTTAATGTTACATATTTTGAGACATATATTAATTCCATTTTGAACTTTCATTCCTTTTCCATATCTTCCCATACCTGTAAAGTTGTGATAAGGTTGATTCTAAAAATTGGCCTATAGGTATTGCTTATATTTCAGCTGCTACCTGTAATAACATTTAATATCTATACAGCACCTTTCATTCTACTTTCTATTATTTTATACTTTTCTACACATATCCATTTGGGAAATGAATTGAGTAGTTTCCATGTTGCTTTCTTTACAAATAAGAGCCTCTTGTCACAATTGGCTAGAGTCTCCTCTTTCCAAAATTATTTAAGTAACAAGTGACTCCAGCTGTCAGTTTGTATTTTCTTTAAGTACTCAGGAGAGTTCATGGATGCCCTATATTAGGCAGATTCAAATAGGCTAACTTGAGCCTGTGAAAATCTACTTGGTCAGAATTCAACAATATTATAAACCCTCCTCCTCCCATATTTTTAAAAAAAGAATGACAATGTGCAAAATACTGTGGAGAAAGAGTAATATGTTATCAAGATGATTCGATAATCTGAGGAGGCATATATACATGCAGCTATTTCAAGAAAAAGGTAGAATGAAATAGGTGGTTATAGTAGAGATACCACCAAAGTGCTATGGGAGGATAATGGAAGAGGTGATGATTTTAATTGGGGTGATGAGAAAGGCTTTTTGGAACACTTGGCACTGGGACTGAGCTCTGAAGAGCGAATGGGATTTTGATAGTCACTTGTATTGTGTATGGTCTGTGAATTCCAATGAGGTTTTAGGTTCTTCAGATACGCTGCAGTTCCCTCCCTAAAAGCTCTGGAAGGGTATTAGATCATTCAGAACATATATTCCAAAACAACTTGGATATAATGTGCTTGTATGCATATAATAAATCTTAGTTTCTCTCATAGTCATACCAGTAACTAGAATTTGCTGATATAGAAAGTAACACCTTAGCCATTTCAGACCGTGAAATTTTAGATCAGGAAAAGACCGTAGAAATTATCTCTCATTGACAAAGAAGGGACTAAGCCGTTCACTAAATGACTTTAGGCAGACTTCTTCTATCGGAAGGCATTACTTTGGAGTTGGCACCTTTCTATGTCCATTAGGATAATTTTTGGTGATATTGTGAAAGAAAAGCATGGAATCCCTACATTCGATTATCCGAGGAGGACACCTTAAAGTCTGCAAGGAACTTGCACGTTGGGATAAGTTTGAAGGAACATAAAATGGACCAAAGGCAGAAAACGCTTGGGGACTCGGTCCTTGCATAATGAAACGATGGAATAACCTGCACCTGGAAAAGGAGACACCGGCAGTATTTTCCATCGGATGTCCTTTACTCACCTGGGGTGGAGTGGAGGCGGAAGAGGAGAGGGGGAAATGGTGACGGAGAGGGCGAGGGGGAGGAGAGGGACCCGGGGAGGTGGGGGAGAGATAGAGGGATGCCTCCAAACCGCCGGGAGAGGTACCCTTTGTTTGACAAACCCTGAAAGGGAAGCCTCTAGCAGCAGCCCTCCCGTTCCCACTTCCTAGCGTTCGCCGAGCTGCTAGGTGGAGCCCGCGCGGCGGAGCCCT